TGGCACATTTCCTTATAATATTTGACTTTGTCTTCTTGAGCTCGTGTTTGAAATATTCTATTCAGTTCTTTCAACTCATTTCTTCCATTTCCTTTAGCAACTCTATCCTGGAGAGCAAGTTTCAGAGTCTTGTCTGAAATCCATTTTGGTCGTTTCCTTCTTTTTATCTTCTTAGTGACCTTTTGCTTTCTTTCTATATGATTTTCTTGGTGTCATCCCACAACTTTTCTGGTCTTGGATCTTTAGTGTCTAATGCATCACATCTGTATTTCATATGATGTCTGCATTCAGGTAGGATATATTCAAGGTCATATTTTGACTCTTGTTGATTTGTTGTAAGCTTTAGCCTAAACTTGCATATGAGCAATTGATGGTCTTTTCACAGTCTGCCCTTGGCCTTGTTTTGGCTAATGATATGGAGCTTTTGCACTGTCTCTTTCCACAGATGTTGTTAATTTTATTTCTGTGCATTCTATCTGGTGTGATGCATGTGTATAGTCATCTTATGTGTTGTTTAAAAAAGGTATTTGCAATGAAGAAATCATTGGTCTTGCAAAATTACTATTTAAAAAACAAAACAAAAATCCATATGTTGTTGTTGTTGTTGTCAAGTGCCGTCGAGTCGGTTCTGACCCATAGCAATCCTATATAGGGTTTCCGAGGCTGTAAATCTTTACGGGAGCAAAAAGCCTCATCTTTCTCCCGCAGAGCGGGTGGTAGTTTCAAACTGCTAAAAAACCATATAGTAACCCCAAATTATGGAAGGACCCTTATGCTATCACTTACCATTTAGAAAGCACGTGTAAACATGAAAGGAACCCTGTATACGGAGTCCTGGTGTGGCGCTGCAGGACAGCGCACTGAACTGCAAGGCTGCTTTGAACCGTAAGGTCAGTGGTTCAGACTCACCGTTCACTTCTCAGAGACCCTATACAGGGTCAGTCTGAATCGGAACCAACTTGTCGGCACTTAACAACAACACAATATAGATTGGAGTCTTGGTGTGGCGCTGCAGGACAGCGCACTGGACTGCACAGTCGGTTTAAACGGTAAAGTCAGTTTGAACTGCAAGGTCAGTGGTTCAAATTCACCAGCTACTCTTCAGAAACCCTGTGCAGGATCACTATGAGTCGGAACCAACAGGACATCACTAGTTAATAATCAACTATATATTAACTGGAGTCTTGGTATGGTGCTGTAGGATGAACACTGGACTGCTAACTGCAAGGTTGGCTGTTCAAACCCACCAGGGACTCCTTAGGAACCCTCTATAGCAGGAGTGGGGAACCTTTTTTTCTACCAAAATTTTTACATCATTCACAGGCTGTACAATATTATCAATTTAAAAATTAGCCTGCTATATTTGGTTAGACATATAATTAACTCATCCCTAATGTGATGGCTGGAACAGCAATTGCCTTGGCAGGGCCAGCCCAAATGATTTTGTGGGCTTTATATGGCCCGTGGTCTGGTTGTACCCCACTCCTACTCTGTAGAGTCTTTATGACTCGGAAGTGACTCAACAGCACTTAATAACAATATAGTACACAGTTCTATGCATAAAAAAACATTAAATGCTTTCATATACATTAAAATGTCTTCAACATAATGATGTTGTTAAATGCCACCTAGTTGGTTCCAACTCAGAGTAACCCTATATAGGGTTTCTAAGGACTGGCTAGTGGGTTTGAACTGTCTACCTTGTAGTTCTCAGTCCAGTCCTACAGTGCTACATCATTACAGTAATGATAATAATGCTGTGTATCACAAAGTAACACCCGTGTGTTATTGTGAACCATTGTATTATTTTTTCTGAAAAATATGTAAAAAAAAACTTTATTGGCTATTTGTGGGAGAGGAATGGGGATATTGGGCAAGAGGAAAGTCTTGGTCTTCATTTTATATAAGCCTTTCTGTGGTAGTTTAATATTCTTCCAATGGCAGAGTGGTTGGAGAATGAGATTTTGTTTTTCTCTTAAAAATTATCATTTAAATTTTTATTTTTTTTCAAAATTTGAACAGGCATTAAGGTATATTCCAAGTCACTGTATAGGAATGTTATGTACCTCTTGACAGTCATTTTATAAATAAGTATTTAAATGAATCTCTTTAATAGGCTCTGTGTTCATAAGCATTTTTAAATGCTTTGTAAAACTGAATAGTAATTTGCTGTTCATTGCTTTTGTTAGTTTTTTAAAGTGAGGATCACAAAGATAGCATTTAAGCCCCTTTACTCATTTTTATTGCTAGAGAATTTATATGTAAGATGTTAATATTTTTCAGGGTTATGGCAGACGAGTTAACCAGCTCCAGAGCAGTTTTACAGCGTCAAAGCCGTGATGCACAGAGCGCGATACAAGATCTCCTGCGTGAACGAGAGCAGTTTCGCCAGGAAATGTTAGCTACACAGAAGTATGGCACCTTGTTTTAAATTTGGATCGCTTCTGTTTTCTCCTGTATTTTTGGTTTTGTGTTTGTTTTGATTTTTAGTGTTTCTATATTTCATAATTTATTAGTTATATACTTTGAGTAGAACTTTCAAAATAAATGCTACAGGGGAGAGAAGAGAACTAAAAAAATAAAAGACATGCTTCTTCCCACATTCTGAATCGGGGAGAGAGTTCTTATGTCTTCAGTCATAGAAATCTCTGGATTGAAAGCTTGTTTTCAGTTACTGTTGCAGTTTGCAGTTTTGTATAGTTGTTGGTAGGCACTAAAGAGTGTACCACTCTCCTTTTCGTAGGATTATTCCATAGCATTACAGTTTGCTTTTATGATCATATGCGCTAGAAATGTCAAAATTGGTACTTTTCATTAAAATCTCTATGTATTTCTATATAATTGATATGTTACAAATCAAATCAGTAAGGATTTAAAGGTAAAAAAAAAACCTCCATAAATATCTCACTATATATGAAGTCAAATCCATAGATCTTATGCAGAATTAAATATGAGAACTGAAAAAAATTTTTTACTGATAACAATCTAATAGGTTGAGAAATGTTTTCTGTAGTTTATTTGACCAGATTTCCTGATTTATGAGAGTACAATAGGGAGAAAGTTACTGTATTATTTCAGAAGTCTTTATTGGTACTGACTTTGGGTATTTTACCCTTTGATTAATGTTCACTGTTTGTGTGTGTTCTATGCAGATTATTGGAGGAGCTTTTAGTCTCTTTGCAGTGGGGACGAGAGCAAACTTACTACTCTAATGCACAACCCCACAGCACAGCAGAACTGGCATTGACAAATCACAAGTTGGCAAAAGCAGTGAATTCTCATCTTCTTGGAAATGTTGGCACTAATAGTCAAAAAAAGATTCCATCAGCAGTTGAATTTTGCAGCACCCCAGCTGAAAAAATGGCTGAAATGGTAAAATACATTTCTCTTTGGTGATCTGTGGAACTCCTTTGTTTTTAGCCAACATTCATCTATCAGCAGTGATATCCCTAGTTCCATGTTCCCTTCTGAATCCAGCTTGAATTTTTGGCAGTTCCCTGGTTAATGTACTGTTGTAACTGTTTTTGAGAATTGTCTTCAGCAAAATTTTATTGCATATGATATTATGAGATAATTTCTGCATTCTGTTGGGTTACCTTTCTTTGAAATTAGGCTTGAATATGGATCTCTTCTAGTCGGTTGGGCTAATAACTGTCTTCCAAATTTCTTGACATAGACAAGTGAGCACAGCCAGTGCTGTATCTGTTTGGTGAATCATGTCAGCTGGTATTCCATCAATTCCTGGAATATTGGTGTGTGCCAGTGTCTTTAGTGCAGCTTGGACTTCTTTCCATACCATCAGTTCTTGATCATATGCTGTCTCTTAAATGGCTGAACATTGACAGATTCTTTCTGGTACAGTTGTGTATTCCTTCCATCTTCTTTTGATGCTTTCTGCATCATTCAGTAGTGTACCCATAGAATCCTTCATTATTTCAAGTCAAGGCTTGAATTTTTTTCTTCAGTCCTTTCACCTGAGAAATACTGAACATATTCTATCCCTCTTGGTTTTCTAATGCCAAGTCTTTGTACATCTAATTATAATACTTTATTTTGTCTTCTTGAGCTGCCCTTTGAGATTTTTTGTTCTGTTCAGAACTTTTACTTCATCATTTCTTACTTTCATTTTAAGTTTTCTACATTGAGAGCAAGTTTCATAGCCTCTTCTGACATCCATTGTGGGCTTTTATTTATTTCTTGTCTTTCTGATGATGTTTTGGTTTCTTCATGTATGATGTCCTTGAAGTCATCTCACAACTCTCAATGTGTCTAGCCTAGTCTTGAGATGGTCTCTAAATTCAGGTGAGATACAGTCAAGGTTGCATCTTGGCTTTTAAGAACGTATTTTAATTTTCTTCAACCTCAACTTGTATATGAGCAATTGATGTTCTGTTCCACAGTCAGCCCTAGCCTTGTTCCCTGACTGATTGTATTCTGTGGTTTAATTTAACTTTAATTAA